ATTATCTCGGGGTCCTGATATAGCCCTGCATCGGGCTCCGTGCACAGCGGGGAGTCTGCTTGAGGATTCTTTCTCTTTCTCCCTCTCCCTCTGCCCCTCCCCCCTCGTGTGCATGTTCTCTCTCTCTCTCAAATAAATAAAAAATCTTTAAAAAATAAAAAAGAGAGTTATTACAGCTGATTTAAACAATAAATTAGGCCCTTGACAATTTTATCAAGGCATAGTATTAAAAAGTCAGCACTCTGGGGCACCTGGGTGGCTCAGTTGGTTAAGCAACTGCCTTCGGCTCAGGTCATGATCCCAGGGTCCTGGGATGGAGCCCCGCATGGGGCTCCCTGCTCCTCGGGGAGCCTGCTTCTCCTTCTCCCACTGCCTGCCACCCCCCCTGCTTGTGCTCTCTCTCTCTGTCAAAGAAATAAATAAAATCTTAAAAAAAAAAAAGTCAGCACTCCTTGGGGCACCTGGGTGGCTCAGTCAGTTAGGCAGCTGACTCTTGATTTCCACTCGGGTCATAGTCTCGGGGTTGTGGGATCAATCCCAAGTAGGGCTCCACAATCAGTGGGGAGTCTGCTTCTCTCCCTCTACCTCTGCCCCTCCCCCAGCTGGAGCACATTTATGATCTCTCTCTCTCAAATAAATAAATAAATCTTTAAAAAAAAAGTCGGGTGGCTCAGTCAGTTAAGTGTCCAACTTGGTTTTGACTGGGGTGGTGATTTCAGGGTCATGGGATGGGACCTGCCCACCCCTCCCCCCCCCCCCGCCCCCGCCACAGGCTCTGTGCTTGGTGAGGAGTCTGCTTGAGATTCTTTCTCCCTCCCCCTCTGCTCCTCCCCCTGCTTGAGCTAGTGTGCTCTCTCTCTATCTAAAATAAAACAAACAAATAAATAAATAAAATCTTAATAGTCAGCGCTCCTTAACCTCCAAATACAGAAATGAAGAGAAGGGTGTCTCCTTGGTTAAACAAAATGATCTCTCTCTTATATAGATGAAACAAGCCATCTCTTCATGTGAATTTCTGCCCTTTCTGCTCTTTTTTTATTTTATAAACTTTGTTTTTTAAGTAGGTGCCATGCCCAGTGTGGAGCCCACTGAGGGCCTTGAACTCCCGACCCTGAGATCAAGACCTGAGCTGAGATCAAGAGTCAGATGCTTAACCCACTGAGCCACCCAGGTGTCCCAGCTGCCCTTTTTGTTCTAAGGCAGCCCTCAAATGAACAATCTTGTTCATGGCAGAAGTTTCCCAAAGTAGTTACTACAATTTCGAAATTTCCCTGGTGAAATTATGTCAGTTCAGTTAGATAAACATATGTGTTGACTTTCCGGTGAAAAAACATGAACAAAGGTGCTTGGCCTGAGAGGCACAGTTTTAGACTGAGAAGATAATAAGAATTGCAGTGCTCCATAAGGGGTTGCTGGTGTAACTGATGTCTCCAGATTCTGGCTGAAGGCCAATCGTCATGATCATGGGCTAGGAATAAAAACCCTCCTGACGGTCGGAGCAGATGAAATTAACAAAGCAATTCTCAGGGACACAAAGACAAGACTGAAGAAGAAATTCATGTAAGTTTTGTTTGTTTGTTTTATTGCGGTGAAATACACATAAAATTTACCATCTTTACCATTGTAAGTGTACATTTCAGTAGTATTAAATACATTCATAATATTGTGCAACTATCATCACCATCCATCTGCGTAACTCTTTTCATCTTATAAAACTGAAACTCCAGGGGCGCCTGGGTGGCTCAGTCTGTTAAGCGTCTGCCTTCGGCTCAGGTCATGATCCCAGGGTCCTGGGATCAAGCCCTGCCAACAGGCTTCCTGCTCAGCGGGGAGTCTGCTTCTCCCTCTGCCCCACCCCCACCCCCCACTCGTGCTTGATCGTGTTCTCTCTCTCTCAAATAAATAGATAAAATCTTTTAAAAACCCTGAAACTCTGTACTTATTAAACACTAACTCCCTATCCGCCCCCCACCCCCTGCCCCTGGTAACCCACCATTCTACTTTCTGTCTCTATGATTTTGATTTGATTTTGCAAAATGGAATTGTTTTCTTTCATTTTTGGATAGTTCATTGCTCGTGTGTAGAAACACAATTGAGTTTTATAATATTGATCTTATATCCTGTAACCTCATCTATTAACTCAAATGGTTTTGTTGTAGATTCCTTAAGATTATCTATGTATAAAGTCACGTCATTTGCAAATAGAAATAATTTCATTTCTGCCTTTCCACTGTGGATGTCTTTTTTTCTTGGCTAAGTGCCCTGGCTAGAACCTTCAGTACAATGTCAAATAGAAGTGAGAGAGGGGCGCCTGCCTGGGTGGCTCAGTCGGTTAAGCGTCTGCCTTCGGCTCGGGTCGTGATCCCAGGGTCCTGGGATCGAGCCCCGGATCAGGCTCCCTGCTCCACGGGAAGCCTCCTTCTCCCTCTCCCACTCCCTCTGCTTGGGTTCCCTCTCTCACTGTCTCTCTCTCTGTCAAACAAATAAATAAAATCTTTGGAAGAAAAAAAAAAAGAAATAGAAGTGAGAGGGAACATCCTTATCTTTTTTTTTTTTTTTTAAGTAAGCCCTACACCCGGGAATGTGGGGTTTGAACTCACCACCCCGAGATCAAGAGTCAGGTGCTCTACCGACTGAGCCAGCCAGGTGCCCCTGGAACATCCTTGTCTTGATCCTGATCCCTGGGGAGAAAGCTTTCAGTCTTTCACTGCTAAGTATGATGTTAGCTGTGGGGTTTTGTCCTTCATCAGGTTGAGGATGTTTTCTTCTATTCCTAGTTTGTTGATGATATGTTACTTCTCAGCTTAAAACAACAGACTTACAACAACATTAACTCGCAGTTTCTGTGGGTCAGGAGTCAGGACATGGCTTAACTAGGATCTCTGCTTAGGGTCTCACAAAGCTGAAATGAAGGTGTTGATAAGGGCTGCAGTCTCCTATCAGGCCTGACTGGGGAAAGATCCAAGCTCGCTCTGGCCATTGGCAGAATTCAGTTCCTTGCAGGTGATGGACTGGGGGCTTTGATTTCTTGCTGGCTGTCAGCTGGAGGCCACCTTCGGTTCCTCTAGGCTACCTCTCTTTCTTGCCACCTGAGGCTAGGGTAACCTAGAGCTTCATTATAATATATTTACATTATATATTACACTGCCAGGGTGGCCTGGGGTCCAGCCACCAGTCTGTGCCCAGTTTCAATGCCCCCCGACCCCCCTGTAGGGAAAGATGGCCATAACAGTTCCAGCAAGAACCTTGTAGGGCCAAAAACTCCCACTCCCAACTGGTAGGAGGAGTGCCTTAGATGGTTGGAAACAACCTCAGTCAGAGACCGCCCTGCTATGACCCATAATCTATACAACCATAAAAAGAAAAGACACCCCTAACCTGGTGCAGTTGCCACCTCTGAGCCTGCCCTCTCTCCATTCTTGAGTATATATTGGCCTTAATAAACTGCTTCGTGCTTGCTACCTTCCTCCTGGCTGCCTTTGAGTGTGGGTCCTCATGTAAATCTTTCATGGGGAATCCAAGAACCAGCACCTCCATTCACCCAACGCAGACTCTCCCGCCCGTAACAGTCCAACCTCATTTCTTTTTTTTTTTTTTTAAGATTTTATTTATTTGACAGAGAAAGGGAGAGAGAGCACAAGCAGGGGGAGCGGCAGGCAGAGGGAGAAGGAGAAGCAGGCTCCCCGAGGAGCAGGGAGCCCGATGCGGGGTTCGATCCCATGACCCTGGGATCATGACCTGAGCCGAAGGCAGACGCTTAACCGACTGAGCCAGCCAGGCGCCCCACCAACCTCATTTCTGATGTAATTATGGACATGTAATCACATATATCTGGTCACCTTTGGTCATGCACACTTTCAAAGGGGAGGGGATTACACAAGATTGTGGACACCAGAAGGCAAGGATCATGGGAACCACCTTAAACATGTGTCCATCACACCATCACTGGGTACATCATCTTCAGGTCCATAAAGGGATGTGTATAATGATTTTTTATTATAAAGTTGTTTTTAATACTGAAGAGACGGAGACAGAATCAATGGATTAGATATACTCACAGCAGCATAAAGGGATCTTTCTTTTCTTCACTTTTAATTTGTGCCACGTTACCATACTTTGTTTTGTTTTTTTAATTTATTTCTTTAAAGATTTTATTTATTTATTTGACAGAGAGAGAGATAGCTAGAGCAGGAACACAAGCAGGGGGAGTGGGAGAGGGAGAGGCAGGCTTCCTGCTGAGCAGGGAGCCCGATGCGGGACTCGATCCCAGGACCCCAGGATCATGACCTGACCGGAAGGCAGACGCTTAACGACTGAGCCACCCAGGCGCCCCCATACTTTGTTTTAATTCCTAAATGAAAATATCTTTATTTGTTACCTGATTTTAATAGGAATACATATTCGTTGCAACATTTTTTCAGACAACAGAGAGAAGTGTAAAGGACAGAGTGATAAACCATTATTTATCTCCCCACCCAGAAATAACCACTAACATTCGCTTCCCAACATTTTTTGCCCAATGTATACTCCAATTTTACCAAAGTTTTGGTTCCTTTGATGTGTCATTTCAAGTGGCTTGAAACCCTTTCTGGAACAATATATGGGTGAAACCTATTTATCTATGTATCCATCCTCACCCACAGTAGCGAGGAACTGTTTATCCAGTGAACAAAGTCATATGTCTCCTCCCCAGGGAGGGAGAGGTGGGGACCGGATCCCCATTCCACCCCACTGAGTCACTTTTGCCTGCCTGTCTGCTAAGGGACAGCAAGGTCTGTTGCCCCGGTAACTGCCCTCCGACTGCCATGGCAACCGCCATGGCAGGCTCCAGCTTACCACCTTGGCCCTTGGGCATCTCCATGGCGACGGGCAGGATGGGGGGCCGCGGGAGCTCCCCGGCTGCGCCTGCGTAGAGTGGCCGGAGAGGGGGCGCGGGCAGGGGGAGGGCCGGGTTCCCTGGCGCGCGCAGCCGCAGAGCCGCGCAGCCTTGCCCGCTCGCCCCGGCGCTGCGCATTTGCCCGCCAGTCCGCCCGTCCGGAGCCCGGCTCGCTGGGGCAGCATGGCGTGGTCGCCGCTGCTCGGCGGGCCGCGGGCCGGGGGCGTCGGCCTTCTGGTGCTGCTGCTGTTGGGCTTAGTTCGGCCGCCCCCCGCGTTCTGCGCGCGGCCGGTAAAGGTGCGACACCGGTCGGGCACGGGGTGGGGGTGGCCGGGAGGATGCTGCGGGCGACGGTCTGTGCTCGGCTGCTCTCCCCTCGTCCTCGCGGGCCCCCCGCCTGCTCCCGGACGTGCGGGGGAGATCGGCCAGGGTGGTCCGGGCGCCCCCGCCAGTCCGCGCGCCCAGGCCATGCGGGACTCGCTGTCCGGGTGTGCGGGGCTCGGCTGGCCTCCACGCCCTGCCCACCCTTGGCACCTGGCGCGGGCCCGGCCTCGCGCCGCCGCTCGCCCGTGGCGCTGTCCCCGGGACTAGCGCGCATGAAGGCAGGGGGTGCGCGCACCGGGCTCCGCCCGGGAGGCGCTGACTGGGGCGTGAGAATGTGCTGGCCCTGTCAGTGCGTGTCCTTTGATGTCAGCGCTTCCGAGCGTCCCTCCAGACGCGCCGTTGTGGGTCTGGGTGTGCAGCGTGTGTGATGCTGGGGGTGTTCCCGCATTTGACTCGTCTCAGGGACCCCGTGTGAGTGTTTGTGAATCCTGTGGTGATGGCTCGCCTATGGGCGTGTCCGTGTCCGTGTGTGTGTGTGTGTGTCCGTGTCCGTGTCCGTGTGTGTGTGTGTGTGTGTGTGTGTGAGATTTCGCTTTTTAGGTGGGAGTGGTCTTTGCATCCTCATGCGCACATCCCATTTTGGTTCTGTTGGCCTAAGTGACTAGGATTTTGTATGGGTGTTCCCGAGGCTGCTTCTCCCTGCCCCTTTATGGAGCTGTGTCATTCTGGGGAGAGAAGCCATGATGTCTCCGTGCTGCATTGTGTCTTTAAGGGTGGCGCGTGTCCTTGCATCTGGGCAGCTTGGCCATCGTAACCGCATGGGCAGCCGCCTATGTGAACGTGTGCAGTTCCTCGCGAGGGGATGTGGCAGTGTCGGGTTGCACACGTGACATCTCAAGGCCTGCTAGTGCATGCGAGTGTGTGTGAGGTTGTGATTGCTGGTGAGTGTGTGATTCCCCAGGAGCTAAGGCGTGGTGGGCGCCCAGGGCACCTGGAGCACATCATCTTCCAACTCGTCAGGGCTGTCTGCGTCAGAGATGGGGGACTTAAAAAATTAGTAAATATTTTATATATGACATACTATAGTTAACATACATGTATGATGTAAGGAATAATGATAAAATAACCCTTGTGTTTACCCACCACTCAGGTTAAGAAATAGAGCATGACAGCCCCGCACCGGGCTGCTTGCTCAGCAGGGAAGCCTGCTTCTCCCTCTCCCACTCCTCCTGCTTGTGTTCCCTCTCTCGCTATCTCTCTCTCTCTGTCAAATAAATAAATAAAAATCTTAAAAAAAAAAGAAAAGAAATAGAGCATGACCAATAGTTAGAGGCCCCTGGGGGCCCCTTGCGCACAGCAACCCCCCTGCTCCATAATCATTATCCTGTATTTTCTGTTCATTGATTCCTTACTTTCGTTTGTAGCTTCTCACATATGTGTGTATGTCTAAACAATATGTTGTTTAGCCTTTCCTCGTAGAAATGGAATCGTACCAGGCATCAGGCTCCTTGTAGTCACTAGGGGTCACTAGGAAGTCATCAGGGCGTCTGGTAATCTCAGGCAGCCTGCAGTGGAATTCGTTAACTTGCTTTTTTTTTTTTGGCTCTGCCTCGGTTGTGAGATGCGCTCGTCATCCACATTTGCACATTGAAGTGCGTGGCTATAATTCATTTATTTTTATTGCTGCCTAATATTTCATTTTCTGAGTATATCATCAGTATATGAGTATAGCATGGTTTATACATGCATTCTCAATAGAATTGGACTGTAGACATTTGGGTGGTTTCCAGGCTTTTTTTCCCCCTTGGTCCACTTCTGTGATGTCACAAACAGTGCCCCATGTGCTTTTTCATGAACTCGGGTCCAGTAGTATATACACAAAAGCTACCCTGGGGTGTAGCACCCCAGGAGTCGGTCATAGGATTTGTGCGGCGTTTTAGACATAAGCCGAATTGTTTTTCAAAGTTATTTTGGCAATTGAATTCCTACCGGCATGTATGAGAGTTTCTGTTTTTCCCACAGCCATGTCAACATTGGGCATCATTAGGTGGTTTGAGTTCTGGCGATCTTTGGGACATATTATGCTTAGTGTCTCATTGGCACTTTAATTTGCATTTTCCTGATTGCTAATGAGGCTCACTATTTTCCATATATTTAGTAACTCGTTTTGTTTCCTTTTTTGTGAAATACTTGATCATTAGTTTTCCCTATTTTTTTTTAAAGATTTTATTTATCTATTCATGAGAGACAGAGAGAGAGAGAGGCAGAGAGAGAAGCAGGCTCCCAAGGAGCAGGAAGCCCGATGCGGGAC